GGACATCACTACTTTCCCAGTCACCTTGTCTCACAACCTAGGTATCATCTTTAACTCCTCACTCTTTCTCATACCTCATCAAGCACTGTCATTCCCACCTTAGCAACATCTGTTTTGTACACCCCTTCTCTCATATAACACTGCTAACATCATGGGAGAAACTCTCATCAATTTCCACTTGGACTATTGCAGTAGCTTGATGGTTGGTTTTCTTGCCTTAAATCTCTCTTCACCCCAGTCCATCTTTAACTCAGCTATTAAAGTGATCTTCCACAGGTTTGACCATGTCCCTCCCTTATTCAGTAAACCCTAGTGCCTCTCTACTACCTCCAAAATCAAATATAAAATTTTGTTTGGCTTTTCAAGCCCGTCATAACCCGGGCTCTTTCTACCTTTCACCTTACTCCCTTCTGAGTGCTTTACAATTCGGTGACTGGTCTTCATGCTGTTCCTTGAATAAGATACTGCATCTCCCAGCTATGCATTTTTACCAACTGTCCTTCCACATCTGAAATGCTCTCCTTCTCTGTCTCTGCCTCTTGGCTTCCTTTAAATCTCCGTTAACATCCTACCTTTGCCAAGAAGCCTTTCCTGTACTGTTCCTTTTAATACTAGTGCCTTTCCTATGAAATTGTCTCCAGGTTATCCTGTGTATATCTTCACTGTACATGTTGTCTTCCCCATTAGTTTGTAAGTTCCTTGAGGGCAGGGATTTTTTTTTTTTGCCTTTCTTTTGGTATCCCTAGTATTTAGCATGGTACCTGGCACATTGTAGATGCGTAATAAATGCTTCTTGATAATTTCTGGGTACCACAGGTAGGGTTAGTTTGTGATGACATGATAGAGTAGAGTATGTTTTCTTGTTTTTGAGAGCTAGGGAAGAGAAAAAAGATGTTGGGGGAGCTAGGAGGCTACTGGTCTTGGGTCCCCTCTGCTTATGTTGTCAGTGTATTGTCATTGTAAGCATGCTGTTTTTAGCATTGTTCTAGAGTCAACATGCTTCCTACACTAATAATAGGAGTAAGTGATGATGAAGTTGTGAAGTCAGATGCAGTCTAGTGTTGCCTAATTGAATTGTACAAGCTGAACTTGCTTTAGCCTGGATGTCACTCGTAGAGGACATGTGTAAATTAGGTAACCACGTTTAAATGTACATTCAGTTCTTCTTACCTAATTTTAGAACCTTGGTAGTGCCAAATCATTGATCCCAAGTTTGGTGTTTTCAATATCTCATGGTAAGTGACTGCCCATTGATTGAGAATGACTGAAAAAAACTGTAGTATATGGACATGATGGAATATTGTTGTATAGTAAGGAATGAAACGTATGAGAAATTTAGGGAAACATGAGATTTGTATGGGCTAATGCAGGGCAAAAGAAGCAGAACCAAAAGAACAGTGACCACAGTGACTTCAAAAATGCAAATGAAAAGATCATTAAATAGAAGTCAAACTTGGAGAAAAAATAATGAAATATACCTGCTTCCTCACATTAGAGAAATGGGGGGCTACCAGAGGGGCATGTTGTATACGTTGTTAATTAGATTACTGTTTTGAATGTTTTGTTTTTATTACTTGCTTTTCTTGTCACAAGGGAATGTGTGTGTGTGTGTGTGTGTGTGTGTGTGTGTGTGTGTGTGCGCGCAAGTTTACCTGCCCCCCAGAAATGTCTCTGGTATAAAGATAAAAAATTATTTTTAAAACAAACAAGGAGGTTGTACCATTATCAAATATATTATTCTTGTTATATGAATCCAAAGAACTAGCCAAACATCAGGTTTTTTTAGTGTTTTTATTGATAATCACACCAGTAAAGTACTGATTACTAGAAAATCCTGATTTAATAGCACAATTCACCACACACTTAATGTTATTCAAATCCCTCATTTTTTTTTTTGGAGTACTGCTCATTGTTTTCAAAAGCGATAAGAATAAAATGAATGTTAGATAAGAATAGCCTTCCCCCAAATCCCTAATTTATTTTTACTATAACTTAATTAAGGCAGATGATAAAATTATGTTTTTATCCTCTCAATTGATTCCATCATTAAATATATTAAATTTTTACTATTAAAAATCAAATGAGGTATAAATTCTTGTATTCCTTTTAATTAATTATCATTTGAATTATTTCCTTGATACATGTTTCAGCCACAGACCATCTACCTAACCTATGTTGAGAAGGCAAATATCTATATATCTATATATGTATCTATTTCTACATATCTATCTTGTTCTAGAATTCCAGAACCCTGGAGTACCTCATCCCTTTAAGGGGCAAGATGAGCTTGTTAGGGCTCCCCAAATCACCGTTAAGAGCACAGAAATACCCATATGACTGACTTTTTGGTTTTCTTCCTGTTTTCATTTCTGGCTGCTTGCTCATCTTACCCTTGCCTTCTTCCCACCCGTATTTGCTTATCCTGTCTACTCCCACGTCTCTGGTGTCTCATCTCTCTCCTGCCCCTAGATTCTTAAGTTACAAACTCTGCTGTTCTAACAGCTTGCAGCTTTGGGATTCCTTTCATCTTTGAAATTCTGATTCAGGAGGATAGGATGACAACCCACCCCAGATATCATGATACTTTGGTCAAGTGTTAGTCCTTTATTTCCTGCCACCCATGAGCTATGAAACTAGTGCAGTGCCTTCAGAACTGGTGGGTTCTCCAAGAGCTGTGCTCTCTGTTCTCTTCAGGCAAACGTGTTTAATGCTCTCTTCTGCAATTCATCAACTTCTGTTCCTCAACTTTCAGGCAGCACCTTGAATTGTGGAATCACAAGCTCTGTTCCAGCCAAACCTGCCTATTCGCTGTTTCCTAGCATTGGCGTTCCATGTCGTGCTTTCACATCTTGGCCACAGTCTTCCTCCTCTTTTCAGTCTCTGAGAATCCCTTGCTTTCGCCACCTCCTACATCCTATGACAAGCTTTTATTCCCCATCATTGTTAATGCTCTCTCCTTTCTCAAATGGTGATGTGTAGGCTTATCTGTTTACACATTGCTTCCCCCACCCCCTGTAAAGTTCCTTGAGACTGCTTTCCATTTTGTCTTTGAATCTCATTTGCCTAGTGCCATATCTGGCATGTTGGATTGGGTTGGAATCACGGGCCTATATCATGACCATCCTGTAGAATCATAGACTATAAGAAATGAAAAGTGCTTTAAGGAAGAAATCACCTAGTCCAGCCCCTTTGTTTACAAATGAGAAAACTGAGGCCAGAGAAGTTAAGTGACTTGCCTAAGGTGACACAGTGAGAGAGTCGAGTTTAGAATTCAGGTCCCCATAATTCCTGGTGCAGTCCTGATTCACTAAGTCTTCTTCCTTCAACCTGTTCTTTGTTCAATATAGGTAGAAATAATTGAGAGGGATGATTTGGTAGTTGAGATTATATCAAACGGTATATTAATTTTTGTTATTAGGGTGCCATTTAATTCTCTGGTGCTAATGACTGGTCCCCAAAGGGCCATTTATCCCCAGAATCACAGATTTTTAGAGTTAGAAAGAACCTCAGAAGCCACTTAATCATAACCACACCTGGAAAGGAATCCCTGTTATAATGCAGTTGCAGTTCTAATTCATGTTAGCTTTTTCGAGATGTCATATCATACTACTAACTCATATTGAGCTTGCAGTCCACTAAAACCCCCAGATCTTTTTCAGAACTGCTGCTGAACTTGGTCTCCTTGTCTTGTACTTGTGAAGTTGATTTTCTTCAGTGTAAAACATTACATTTGCCCCTATTAAATTTTATCTTATGAAATGATCTGGCATGTAACAATTTTGGGGGGTTTATCCAGTGTGTTAGTTATCCTTCACAAATGAAAACAGTTTATTTCCCACTTCTTGATCAGATCGGGCCCAATTCATATGTCAATTTATTTTCTTTTTAAGGACTGGAAAACTCAGGACTATGGGGTCATGTAGGAATAGGCATTTTGAATTATAACAGTTGTTTTTGTTTGGCAATGGGGTTAAGTGACTTGCCCAAGGTCACACAGCTAGTTAATGTGTGTCTGAGGTCGGATTTGAACTCAGGTCCTCCTGACTCTAAGGCTGGTGCTTTATCCACTGCACCACCTAGCTGCTCCTGAATTATAACAGTTGTAGGCATAACTACAACATGATGGCTCTTTATGACCCACTTTGTCCCATGTGAGACCTCATTATTAAATGTATGTGCTTTTCAATATTGGAGAGAATTGGGCAAATATCAATGTGAATATTATTTGTTGTTCATAAACTTACTACATTTTTAAAAAGCAGCTGTTCTATGTCAATGAATATTTTAAAACATTTTTAAATGTCTTTCTGCATCCCTCTCCACTCCAAGCAAAATACTTGAAACAACTATTGCCTGGTTGATGACTACGATCTCCCTTCGACCACCTACAATATTGGAACTGGAAAGGACTTTATGATTTTTTTTTTTAGGCTATTGGGGTTAAGTGACTTGCCCAGGGTCACACAGCTAGTAGGCGTCAAACGTTTGGTCTGAGGCAGGATCTGAACTCAGGTATTCCTGACTTCAGGGCCGGTGCTCTATCCACTGCGCCACCTAGCTGCCCCTGGAAAGGACTTCAGTGATTATGTAGTCCAGCCCCTTGATTTTTGCAGATGAGAAGAGCTGGCATGACTAACCTAAGGTCATGTAACAAGTGGAGTTCAGACAAAAAGCCAAGTTCTTAGGCTTTCAGGCAAGTGACAGAAACACTTCACTTGGAAACTGAAGGTCTTGGTTAAAAATCCAGCTCTCCTGACTCACCAGCCGTGTGGCATTGGCCAAGGTCTCTGTGCCTCATTTTACTCATTGATAAAATGAGTGTTATAATAGTACCTACGTTCCAAGGTTCTTGTAAGGAAAGTGGGCTGGGAATTCAGGCTTTTTCTGACTCCAAGCCCACTACTACCCCTCAAACTCATTGTAGTGTACTACTAGGAACTAATGCATTAAAGATACTGTAACAATGGAAGGTTCAGTCTTTCAGAGGGAAGGAGCAGAGAGAGGGAGAGGAAAAGGTCTTTATGATCTAAAGATAAAAAGCACTAAGACAAAAGTATTTTACAAATAGACTTAGGTGGTAATCCCATTTCTAGCACTAGATAGGACTACATTACTTAAGAGGTAAAAGAAGGCCTTATTTCATTATAAAAGCCAAAAATCGATCAGAAAGAAATATAATTGTATCCTGCAAAGCATGTGTTTGTGGATAAATGTACAGTGGTATCCAACAAATTTCCTATCCAAGTGTTAATCGTCTGTCATAACTATGAGAATGTAGCAGTGTTTCCAAAACCGATGATGTTTTTCCATGGCTAGGTCGAATAGATCTGAAGAGGAGTTCTGGGTCTAGTTTGGAAAAAAAAAAGCCATACTTGTAATTTAATTCATTCAAATCATGGAAAGCCTCCTCAATGTCTGAAACAAAAAAGTTTACAGAAAATAAATATAGAAGAAAGAGTTCAAGGCCTTCCTTTAATTTATTTGGCATGCCAATAAATAGCTGAATGGATAGGTTTCATATTCATAGATAAATGAATGAATTTGTGAACTGAAAGGATCTTACCTTTTAAGATATGATGATTTTAAGCAATAGGGATAGACCAAGGCTTAAAGGTCTTTGCATCATCTATTGGGATCTAAGAAAGGGAACACAAAGCATCATTTGTTAATACTATAGTGATATTACATGGACAATAATTCACCATGAAAAGAATGTCAATATATCTTTAAGTTTAAAAGAAATTTCCATGGGACAGCCCTAGTCCTTGGGAGAAGGGGCAGATCACACATATTGATTAGGCACAGTGCTTCCTACATATTCTTTTTTTTAAATTTTTTTATTTTTTTGGTCTAGGCAATGGGGTTAAGTCACTTGTCCAGGGTCTGAGGCCAGATTTGAAGTCAGGTCCTGCCGAATCCAGGGCCAGTGCTCTATCCACTGTAACACCTAGCTACCCCCTTCCTACATATTCAAAGACTTATACGGACAATGGCCTCAGCCATTCAACCTCAGCTAGTTGAATAGGTCTGTAGGATCAACCCTCCACACTGTGCTGTTGTTTAGTACTGTCCAACTCTTTGTGAGCCTTTTTGGGGTTTCTTGGCAAAGATACTGGAATAGTTTGCCATTTCCTTCTTTAGTTCATGAGGAAACTGAGGCAAACAAGGGTGATTTATGCAGGATCATTCAGCTAGTAAGTGTCTGAGGCCAGATTTGAACTCAAGAAGATGAGTCTTCTGACTCCAGGCCCATATTCTATCCACTGTGCTACCTAGCTACCCCTATCTACACTAGCAGGGTCAGACTCAAATGGAAAGTGGGGAGTGGGGGGGGTTGGGGAGGAAGAGGTGGCAGTATTAAAAGTTACATAAGGATCCCTGCTGGTGCGTATTGACACAGAAAACCACCTATCAACATTAGCTATGTTCTGTTGTATTTTCTGTTTTTTAAAAAATATTTTTCAATTACATTTTAATCTGGTTGAGCTGTGCTAGAGAGCATTACATCATTTTGCACTTCTGCTGTACACATTCTAATCTCTCAACTGGGTTCTCACTGCCTCATGGCAATCCTTTTATTCATCCCCATTTGATTCTATATCATACTCCCTTTCACTTTGGTGGTGAAAGGAGATGTAAATGGGAAAAGGGAAAAAGCATTTATTAAGCACCTATTATGTGCCAAGCACTGTACTAAGCTCTTTACAAATATGATTGCATTCCATTCCACATGTCTCCTTGGGAAGAGGAGGAAAGCCATTCCAATCTTCTGCCTTGGAAGTAAGGGGAGAAGACAGAAGATGCCTCTCTGTCCCACCAATCTCCCACCTTTGTGGTGAGGGATGAGGGTGCTATCCCACCCACCGATCTCCCACCTTTGTGGTGAGGGATGAGGGTGCTATCCCATCCACCGATCTCCCACCTGAGGGATGAGGTGCTATTCCACCCACCGATCTCCCACCTTTGTGGTGAGGGATGAGGGTGCTATTCCACCCACCGATCTCCCACCTTTGTGGTGAGGGATGAGGGTGCTATTCCATCCACCGATCTCCCACCTTTGTGGTGAGGGATGAGGGTGCTATTCCATCCACCGATCTCCCACCTTTGTGGTGAGGGGAAAGGGTGCTGTTCTATCATACCACATCTCCTGTGTGGTCTCCAGTTTCAGAAAGAGGAGAAATGTTTTTCCATCAAGAACAAGATTCCTTTCTTCCAGGGAAGTGGAGAAAGATCATTCCATCAAGTCTTCAGACTGGTTTTTGGCCTTGGGGGAAGGAGACTTGAGTTCCAAGTACTTGTCCCCTAGCCTGAACTGCCTAGAGCCCTGATGAGACTCTTTGTTGTTGTTCAGTCATGTCTTCAGTGACCCCATTCTGGGTTTTCTTGACAAAGATACTGGAGTGGTTTGCCATTGGCTTCTTCAGCTCAGTTTAAAGATGAGGAAACTGAGGCAAATAGGGTTAAGTGATTGCGCAGGGTTACATAGCTAGTGTCTGAGAGCAGATTTGAACTCAGGAACTGAGTCTTCCTGACTTAAGGCCTACTGCTTTATCCGCTGTGCCACCTAGCTACCCTGAGAGGACTTTGCCCTGAGGTTGAACCCCTGACAATGACAATCTATCCAAACTTAATGATTATCTAACTCCCCTGTAGTCACACTCTCCTCGTCCAGTGATTCGGAAGCCCTTTCCTGAGCCCCTTTGCCCGATCCTTTATTCCCGTTCCCCTCAACACCAGCCCTGCCACTCCCCTCATCCCACTCTACAGCTATGGACCTTTCTTTGGGACGTCTGCTCCACAGACAACAAACTTGTTTTCATCTTAAATCTTTTCCTTTCCCACTTCTCCCATCTACAGGCTCTCACTACAAATTTATGTCACAGTTACTTCAACTGGACTTTCACTGCTGCTAGGCAATCCTACTATATCTCCCTAATTAACTCACTATCCCATTCACCATTGGCTCATTCAAAAAGACATGGAAAAACTTGTACAAATGGACACAGAGTGAAGTGAGTAGAACCAGAAGAATAATTTACACTATTAACATCAATATTATAAAAATGAACCATTTTAAAGACATGTAAACTGATGAAGAATGGAATGAATGGGACAAGGAGAACAATTTATACCATATTTATGCAATAGCCACAATACCGTAAAAGCAAATGACTTTGGGGCAGCTAGGTGGTGCAGTGGATAGAGTACTGGCCCTGGAATCGGGAGGACCTGAGTTTAAATCTGGCCTCAGACACTTGACACTTACTAGCTGTGTGACCCTAGGCAAGTCACTTACCTCCATTGCCTAGAGAAAAACCAAACCAAAACAAAAAACAAATGACTTTGCAAGCTCTAAAAACTCTAAACAATGAATGATCATTCAAGTTTCCAGAAGACCTATAATGAAGCCTCTTATCCAACCCCTGACAGAGAGGCAATGGATTCAAGGTACAGAATGAAAAATATATATTTTTTTGTTTTTGTTTTTGTTTTTTTTGCTTTTTTTAGGCAATTGGGGTTAAGTGACTTGCCCAGGGTCACGCAGCTTGTAAGTGTTAAGTGTTTGGTCTGAGGCCGTGAAAAATACTTTTTGAACATGGACAATGAGGAAATTTGTTTTGCTTGATTATGCCTATTTGTTACAAGGTGTAAGGGGTGGGAGAGAGAGAAAATAGATTTGTTAATTAATAAAACAATTCAATGTTAAAAAAGACAGCTCAAAACCTATCTTCTCAAGGAGATCTTTCCTTATCCAATCCCCAGCCCACTTGCTCAATACTTCTGCGATTACTCTGTATGTATTATGCATGTACATATAAGAACAAGGATCCTTCATAAATTTAACATATAAACTAGGTATATAAGACCCATTTCCGAGGAAAAGAGTTGTGAAGAGCTTAAGTTGAGTCTGGACTTCAGTGGTAGAGTTTAGATGTTACTCATGTAATATAAAAAAAAATTGGTCATTTTTGGGGTGGTAAATTGGGGTTAGCATTTCTTCACTTGTTTTGATTAGAGCCCTCAAGGGCCATAATATAATTTTTCATCCCCTCAGAATGTGAAGACTTAAAGAAAATAGTCCTGAGACTTAATAAGCCAAACACACATATTTAATTATAAATTCTAATTATGTTTCAAAATCCAGAGAGTATCTAAGCATGTCAATATATTATTCTTCATTTTCTCTAAGCACCCACAATGACTCATGTAATCTGAGGACCACCAGATCAGTGCATATACGATCCGTATGTTCTGGGTTGGCTTGTTTCATCACTGCCCGTAATCTGCTGTGGTCAAATTTTACCAGACTGTGTGGGAAGAAAAATGTGTGGCCCTAACATGTGGCAGTTTCAGGACAGTCTGTAAGACATGAACTGATATCTTTTAGGGCTGACAAAAGATTCCTCACAGCCAAGAAATGTTCAAAACTGGGCTGCTGACACCACTGAATGAGCTTAGATTATATAGTTATGTCCTTTGGTTTTGAAGCAGGCAAACAAACTTGAGTGTCATGGCAAACTAGTCCATGTGCCATATGTATTCAGTTTGGTTGATGGACCTGAAATGCAGTTTATTCAAGTTTTTTGGCCACTTTTGCAGGACCTTTCTTTCAGATAGCAGCAGGAAGCACATAGGGGATGGTCGCTGTTCATTCTGCCACCATTCCCCAACTTTTTTTGATCCATAAATATAGAATCAGGGAGAGAAAATATGAGTTTTGGGCACTGAGCTGCCATGAAGCTGTGAATGGCCACAGTGAGAGCAATGATTGCATATATCCACTGCCTGGAACATAAAAGGTGCTTAATAAATGTTTGTTAATTGATATACTCTGATAAGTTATTTTTAAAAATTTTTTACTCTAATAACTTACTAAGAGTAAGTCAGAAAGTTATATTCTAGCATACAAGACTAGATCAGGGAGGACTGGATGAAACCACAGGAGAGACAGTATGAAGACCTGATTAGGGTGAAACTAACAGCTCCCATTTGTGAGAGGAAAAGGGAACAAGCATTTATTAAGTGCCTACTATGTGCCAGGCACTGTGCTAAGTTCATTACAAATATTATGTCAATAAACAAGAGATAGAGAGCAGAGTGAGATGTAAAATGGATAATTTTGATTACATTAAATTAAAAAAGGTTTTGTACAAATAAAACAAATGTAGTCAAGATCAGAGGGAAAGCAAAAAATTGAGGAAAAATTTTATAGAGAGTTTCTCAGATAAAGGTCTCATATCTCAAATATATAAAGAACTTTGTCAAATCTATAAGAATATGAGTTATTCCCCAATTGATAAATGGTTGAAGGATATGAACAGGCAGTTTTCCAAGGAAGAAATCAAAACAATTTATAGTCATATGAAAAACCGCTCTAAATCATTATTGATTAGAGAAATTCAAACAACCTTGAGATATCATTTTACACCTATCAGATTGGCTAAAATGATTTAAGGGGAAAGCAACAAATGTTGGAGGGGATGTGGGATAATTGGGAAGCTAGTTCACTGTTGGTAGAGCTATGAACTTATCTAACCATTTAGGAGAGGAATCTGGAATTATGCCCAAAGAGTTACTAAACTGCCTATATCCTTTAACCCAGCAATACCACCGCTAGGTTTATTACCAAAGATGA